CTTGGACCCCACTGGCCGGCGGCCTGGAAACTTGTTTCCGAGGAAGGGTCTTTCAGACCCCACAGGTGTTGGAAACCGTCGTGGAAAGTCGGCCCGGAAAGGAATTTCGGACCCCACTGCGTTTGGAAAGAGGTCGTGGAAAAGCTGACGGGGCGTTTCTACTCGGCTCGCGGCCTGGAAATTTGTGGCAACGAGTTTCCAAACAGTTTCCAAGGACGGCTCCAGACGAGTAGGGGGGGGGGGCATGGAAACGAGTTTCCAGAAAACGGCCAGACGGTGCGAACCACGGACCGTCACCGTGGACTGTTTTGTGGACCAGTACGCCGGCGCGGACATGCTCTTCATTTTCTCGCGTCGCACGGTTCCCACCGGGGCCCGAGGGGGGTCTGGGCCCTCCGTGCTACCCTCGGTTTGCGAACGGCACGACGCAGCATTTCAAATTCGATTTTTTTGGCGGGCTCACGACGTAGGCCAGCCTTGCAGTCGCTTCATGTCGTGCGAGTTCAGTGGCAGAAGCATCGGTAGTGACACCCTCACGTCGCCGTCGTCGATACGTCCATTAAACCCTCCGTCGTTTTTCACCGGCGTTATGCCATCGCTTCTCTCCTTCGTGCGAGCTGGTTCCCTGGCCTGCCAACGGGGAAGCCATCTCTGGTGGCGTCGGCAGGCGTTGTCCGGCCGGGGCTTGCATTTCGAGCGTCCTGGCGTTGTGTCGAGCAGTGTCCGTCAAACGCACAGTCCGGCCCCGGCGCTCTCACTACCTTCCCGCGCGCACACGTGTCGTCCAATGCTGACCTCCCCTGTGGTTGCCAAAGCACATGCCGCGCTCCGTCGTGTGCCTCCCTTGCCATCCTCCCTTCTTCGTTTGCCTCGGCAGGGCGGTCGTTTGTCCTCGCCGGAGAGCAACCCCGGGACATGTAGGCAGGGATGGGCTGCGCATCACGATGTGGTCATAAGTCCTCATCCACACACTCGCCACGTGTCGGTCGTCGAACGCCATAGTCGGCCGTGTGGATGTGACCGCTGCCATCGTCATTGTTGCGTGGATGTTATCATAAACAACCACTGCGGCAGATGCGGCCGACGAAAAAACCCATCTTTGGCTGTTATCGCAGGCCTGCTTGCCATCGCTATCCTCCTTTCCACAACTTTCGTCTTGTCCGTCGTTTCGTCGTTTTCTGGTGTGCACTCGTGTACTTCTGCTGTCGTCGGTGGAGATAAGCAACGAAGCGTTGTTGTTCGAGGGCGCATTGCGTGCTTGAAGGTGTTGCCTCCGTGTATATATCTTCTGCAGCCAAATGGAGTCGTACCGGTCGACGGCAGATCCCTGTGCAGGCAATGGTGGGGGATTCCAGACCCACGACATGCGACATGAAAGATCTGTCCACTACTCCTCGCCTTCGGCGGCAAGTATGCAATCCTTCAGCGGGCAGATGCAGGAGGTTGTGCGTGCGGGGCCGATTCAAGCGCCTCCTGCTCGTGTGCCCTCTCCATCTCTCCATCATGCGGAAGCTGCACGTCGGCGGTTCGTTGTTCGACCAAGTGCAGAAAGTGTGCACGGGGGCCCCATGCACACGGGCCAGACGTCGTTTTCCACACAGTTTGGAGGAGGGTATGGCATGCCTTCTCCGCACATGTTCCCGGGCGGCGGTGGATATGGCATTGCTCCGCAAGTGTACCCCACCCAGCACACTGTGGAAAGGGGCGGAGTGATGAGGGACGAGTGGCAGTGGTCCCCGCAGTGCCGACAACCGTCGCAGGCCATGCATGGCGGGTTGTCCGCTTCCTCGCCCATGTCGGTGACGCGGTCTGCTGCCGAGCTGTCATCTTCGATGGCAGATGTGCAAGCAGAGGATATGGAGGAGGGGTGGCCTGTCCACAGCGCAACTGCATCGGCCAGCGGCTTGCAAGGTCCCTCCTTCGGTGGCGAGGAAGATGAGTTGGTTGGCGACGATGAGGTCGAAGGTGATGGCGGTGACATTGATGGGCAGAACTCTGACAACGCGCAGGAGGATGGGGACAATGCTAGTGCTGGGCAGAGAGATGGGGGCGAGAATGTGGTTGGAAGTGTGCAACAAACGGGGGGGCAAAGATGGTGCTGCGAAAAACAAGAAGCAAAACATCCCCTGGACCTTGGATGAGAGGATCGCGCAGTCCAGATTGATGGCCGAGGACGACGCCCTTATGGCCGACGCTGATGGGCAGCATCGGTTCAAGAGGAGTAAGGACCGATATGAGTGGGTGCACGATCGGATGGCGGAGCAGGGGTTCAGTACAGGTCGGCGGAGGATTGTCGTAAGAAGTGGCAGGGCATGCTAGCGGCGGCGAAGTTGATTCTCGACAAGTGTGAGAATGCTTCGGGGAAACCTTCGTACTGGGACATGACCCTTGAGGAGCGGAAGGCGGAGCAGGTGCCACTAGGCTTTGAGAAACCTCTGTGGGAAGCGATGGAGTGGAAACTCAATCGGCCATCCATCAAGTGTGACAAGACGCTGGCGTCCGAGAACCTGCCAGGCAACGCGGGGGGGAATTCGACGAGCGGCGGTCCAGCACAGCCGTCGTCAGGGAGGAGTGCTTCCGACGGGAAAGCTACGGAAGATTTGGACCAAGCTGCGAAGATCCGGAGGACGAACACCGGCAAAAGCAGGATGGACGACACGATGAGCGGTGGGACAGCATTTTGAGCAGGGCGATGGAGGACGCGACACGGTCGTACGGCGAGGGTTTGGACAAGGCCGCTGCCACTCTGGCGAAGGCAACGTCGGAGGCAGGCTCGGCGATAGCGGCGAAGATCGGTGACGTGGCAGACGCAATGCGTGGCGGTAACACCGTCCTTGAGATGCTGGTGGGGGTTCTCGCAAGGCGCGGAGGTGGGGGGAACAATGCTGCATACGAAAGGACGGATACAGACCCCTCGGCGCGCTAGACTTCCTATATATATATATATATCGAAGATGGGTGGCGGCTGTTGTTCCCCCGTCCCGATTTCCCGGCCGGGTGTCCCATCCCCTGGTCGGTCACAATCAACCGGTGTGTATATATATATATATGTTTGTGACGATATATATATATATATGTGACGATATGTATATATATATCGTCACAAACAGAACTGCCCGGTAAACCGTAGGCAGAGAGAGAGAAGAGGACAACAAATGAGGGGCTGTGACAAACTGTTTCGTCGGAGTTTCACCGACTCATCAGGAGGCTGAACCCTATATATGACGATATATATATATATATACGGACACACCGGTTGTGACCATATATATATATTCTATTTGACGATGTATATACGGACACACCGGTTGATGGTCACCCGGCCGGGAAATCGGGACGAGGAAACAACAGCGGGCACCCAACTTTGGCGTCGTATACATATATCAGTAGCCGGTGCCAGCGTATATATACGTGGGCAGTCGCGGCTTCGCTGGGCAGCGCAGTCGTTGGTGGGCGGTGCTTCACAGTCGACGACGCACTTGTCGCGAAAGGAGGAGTGCGCTCGGCTCTGCATG